GCCTCAGTTTGGTAGGATTGATTTTTGAAGTGTTCTTATGCGCTCCCTAAGTGATGATGCTTCCTTTCATGCCGCTATCAGTACCAGTCTTCCCTGATATCATTCAAACTGTGTATATTTTAGCATTTATTTGATAGCCGAATAAATTGTTTTTGTTTATGACTGTACCAACTGTCTCAGCTAATGCACTACGCTTCATTCCTACTGCGAATGGTACCAGTCCGATTTGTTCATTTGTTTAGATATATGCTTCACAGCTCCAGCATGACCATTATTTCCTTTCCATCCGGTACTTCTGAAGTAGAAAGCACTTTCTGAACGAGCTCGTCTGAGTAGGAGACCAGAGTGCCTGCACAAAAAGCTTCGGGACGATCGCAGATTTAGAGTTTATTTATGTATCTTGAGCCTCAGTCATCAGCAATTTGTGATTACGTGCGTGCGCCTGTTCGATCTGCATCGGCTGTTCACGTGAAAGTAATTATACCCAAAGCACGTCCCCCGTTGCCCTCATCAGGCGTGCACTAGGCATTGTGAGAATGCTAAGCTGCACTGCAGCTGGAGATGCAGGGCGAGTGGCTAGTCCGTTTGGAATGCGATAAGTTGGGCATATAAGGCCCTTAGCTTTGTTAACTGCACTGTATTTATCGACATCTGATAAGAAAATGCTTTACGCTGCGTACAAAAGCATTTTTTACACACGGACTACGAGTTCTCGCTCCCGCTTATGTTGGTGCAAGAAGAGAAGGAACGAGACGAGATCTGAACTGCACTTCCTCCGAATTTCATCTTGCTGCACTTCCAAGTGATAGGTTCTAGAGGCAGTTCGGTCTAGAGTTCTTGCATGTTTCAGTTGGCAGATTTAAGAACGTGTAATTCACTCAGGAACAAATTTTTTTTAGCATGCCTCGCAGTTAGAAATGGCTGGAAGATAATGGAGATTTTAAAAGGCTTCTTTGCCAATCCGAGTGATTACTTTTGTGCAGTTCTGGGACTGGTAAATTCGTCAGCCAAATCTGGGGTCGAGGTTTAGGGTAAAGAAAGTATGAAAAGGAACGAACCGAAAAAAGTGTTCCTCGGTTTTCGAGTTCCTGCTTTGCTGAATTTTTTTTGGATTTTTCTAAGCCATTGGAGGAAAAAGCCCGTGTATAAAAACAGCGAGAATCGGGGTGGATGGACGGCGCGTTCG